GGGGCGTCGCGCGCGAAGGAATGTAGCAGGATGCAGCAGTATTTAAGAAATACAAAAGCAAAAGTACTAACAGTAGAATTATGCATAAAATAATGTTCGTATATCGATTGAGTTGTATGAAGAACGCTAGAGGTGTAATAACGGCGAATGAGTGGTCCGCGACAGCCGCGTGAGGCGAAACGATTACCCAAAATCGTTCCTAACGCCCGTCTCCTAACGCAGTTACAATTGCATTGATCGATAGTCGTCAATCGACACCATTTCGACATGATTCAATACCTGGCTGCTCTCATAGTCCGCGTGCCACGAGGCAGTGCTAGGGGGGAGGAGGGCGGCAGAGGAGAACGTCCGTTGCGCGCGTCCGTCGAACACTTCGCGCGCGGCGCACCCATCTGAAGTCTTTACAGTGCCACCAAATGTCAGTGGAGCTTATGATTTGCATTTGTCCATGTTATCTTGTATTTGGGTGACTGCCGTGGACCAAGCGCAAGTCGTATACGCCATTCACAACTCTGACATCCGTCAAGTATCGCGAGCTGACCCGCCGCATGCGACGGATGCGGCGTAACCTAGTTTGAACGGACGCGCGCAACGAAGCGCACCCGGGCGGCAGACCGTCGGTCGATGGGCTGAAAATAAAGAAGAACAAGATCAAAAACCAAACAACCAGGGGCTTGCACAAATGGTTTTTGATCTTGTCTCTCCTTGTTTACAGCCCTTCGAGTGACTGACCGACCGTCTGCCGCCCTCGTCTGTAGTCAAATCCACTGGCCCTGTAACTTCCGGTCTAGAAAGGAAACGTTGGACATTAGACTTCTCGGCCAGGAAGGACGGAGTTTCAAAAATAACTTCGATCTAAAAAGGATAGTTCAATGTGAACCAACATTAGCTGTGACAGTTACCTCGGATTTGACGATAGAAATGTAGACAGGGGAACTGACTGAAAGCTCCACCTCTGAAGAATTGCATTCGTTATTCCTGTAAGATAGAGTATGATATTCACATTTTCTCCAAACATCTGGATAGGAATTATGAGACTTTGTGATTGCAAGGAAATCAAAATGTCTGCGCTTTATTCTCTTGGTATGGTGCAAGAAGACAGGAGAAATTGGACAAGCAAGAGCATTGCTCCAGAAAAAAATGATCCGATTCGCTTGTTGTCACAGCAAATAGAGCTTCTTGTATAGTTTGGCTTGAAGGTTACAAAGATAAAGCATTCACCAATTCGAAAGAAAAAGCAGTAAAACCAGTTTTTTTGGGTTTGTAATTACTATTACTTGAAAAGCACTTGCTGTGGGGCAACATACATAAACACTAGATTATATATTAGTTAGTAATTTATTCTCCCTTTCTCATGTGAAAACAGGTGGGATTAGGGGTTATCCTTCGTGGGCCTTTGGAGAGGGAAGGGGTAAAAGTGACCTTGTTGACCGCTGTCGGCATCCTTTTTCTTATGTCATTTCAGCAGTGGGTTTAACTGTGGCTGTGATTATCACAGTGACAATCAAGCTAGTGTATATAAGTGGCAATGAACCCTGGGGATGCTGTGGTGATCTTATGCAAACATAGTGCTTCAATTGATATGTTGGAAAGAGAGTTTGTACATTTTTTGAAAATGTCACTTTTTCGATTTTTTCTTCGATAATGTCCCGAATTTTGGTCTCGGTTTTATTGCACCATTCGTTTATTAGCAACGGTGATTTTCAATGTCTCTTGACTGAAAAATGAAATGCTTTTTCTGGTGTTGCGTTTTCTTCATAATCGATGTTACTTTCACTGAAACGCCTGGAAAATTTTTACGTTCGGGTCACATTTTCTTGGTATTCTAGTCTCGTGATAAAAAAGCTTCTTGCGTTCCATCGAGTCTGCAACTCATGAAAACAGCTCAACACTCCAATTTTTTGGAAGCTACTACGTCTTTTCAACCTGTCTTTGATGTCTCATCCTTTAACTCACAATGCCCTATCATCACTATCGAAGAAAGCCTTGTAAGAAACAACCTTGCATACGGGCAAGCCACTTTCACACAAGAAGGAATTTTAGTGCGGGAACCAGGTCCCCGATAGTAATTCAGCTATGCTTACTGGCGTGAAGTTCTGCGTTCCCCACCATTTGCTCCATACTGAGGTTGTCGTAAAAGTTGCCTTGCTGAATTTTCGTTCACGTTTGTTTACATACACCGTTATGACATAATGCGTTTTGCTTTCGAGCTCTACAAAGAAAAGCTCGAAAGATTGACCATCACGTTCGGACTCCTCCAACCAATGAACAATGTTCAACTCAAAATTAGTTATTTTCTTTTATTGGCCCCCAGTGCCTTGACATCGGGCCCTCCTCCTTTTCTTACTGAAATAGCGCCGTCACCTGCACCTCTTTCAAATTTGGACGCTCCAGTGTAGGAGAGCATTAGCTACTGATTCCAGGTTTAACGTACGCACGCACACACTTCAAAACACTTTGGGCACGCATTGCCGCTCTCCGAGCGGAGTACTGAGCTTGAAGTACTGTCTTCAATAACATGGTTAACTACCCTTTTATTGCAATTTGACTTGTATTTTACTCGAGTTGCGATCCTTTAACGCTCGTTTCGCTCTTCCATCTGTCTTCACTCCCCAACCCCTCCCCCCTCAAGGATGGAGTACAGCTCATTGCCAGTCACTTCCCATGAACCCTCTACGCCCGAGTTAAAATTTTCCCGCACGCCCCGACCTCCTGAGGCGTGGAGTCTTTCCGTACCATCAACGGTTATTGTCCCTATCCTGCAGCCTGCACCCCTACCCCCCTACCAGATTTTAACGCCGTATGGTGGTGGCAACTCACTCACATCTTTCAGAAGTAGGAATGCTGAGTTGGATGTGCATTCGAACGCGATGGATCAGCATGGAAATGAACAAGTCAGGACGGTCATGCAAACAGCTGAAGGCAAGAAAGCAGCGCTCATATTAACTATTCAGCAAGGACTATTCGGCACACTTTGAAAAGGCCGCAGGACCACTCCATGTACAAGGCAGTGGACTTTGAAGCTGAAGAGAAGCGACCACGAGGAACACCAAGGAAGAATTGGCGAACGTGACAAGAAAGGCTCCGCGGAAGCCAAGTTCAAGGCCGATGATGCCAGAGACAAAAGGAAATAAAAGCACCTAATAGGAACAGTCGACCCTGCGACGGTGCGGGAGCATCGATAAGAAGGAAATTCATTCAGCTTGATACAGGATGCGCTAGTATAATAGTATTGAGATGCAATTTGCCTCTTCATATCGCACTGCTGTTATTATTCAAAGTTAGGGAACTATTATTGGTCTCCTCGAAGGCGTATTGACACGGGATTCTAATGCTGTGTTTGGGATAGTGCGCCTCTTCTCACTACACAATCTCCTCGCTATGAGATAGTTAAAAATTCTTTTCTGGCACTTTTATAGGGCTGCTGATGATGGTCCTTTTCCGTGAAAGCTTAACCGTGATAATGCAGTCATCAAAACAGAGAGTGTGAATTCTGGACTAGGTCAGCAATGTAACCTTTTGTTTCACCCTTTATTTATTGGTTGAGTAAAAAGGTTTGATCGGTTTTTCATTCTTAACTTTAAAGTCTTATTTCTATTGAAAGAGGGTCTCAATTAGTAATATAGTCTCCTTAGTTGTCCCCAACACATGTCTAACGAACCGGCAGTTTCTTTACTCCTGAAGCCCAGAACGGTGGCGGCCGCGATTCGAAAAAGCTGGAGATCTCATTTTTGAGTTCCTAGCAATCATTAAAATTTCTATCTCGAAGGTGATGTTTCAGACCAAGAAACTAATGGTNAAGACGGAGCGAGACCTGGCGAATAAGAGAAATGGGACAGCACTTCCCTTCTTAATTCGATTTCGACAGCAATTTACTGACAAAACTATTTCCCAACAGCGGTTGAGCGCTGTCGTGAAAAAGCCAGGCTGCGGACGCTCCTTTGCAACAACGTCGGCCAAACTCTGCAGCTGGTAGGTAAGCTTGAATCTCGGCGCTCACGGTGGAACACTCAGTAAGTGATCCAAAATAGAGCATTCTCTGAGAATGTCCACCGACGACACAGTAAAACCTTCCTCGGACGTAGTCCACTTCTCTGCTTGTCTTGAAGGAGTTCCGTCACGAGGCACCCGTGGGTTGAGATACGATGGCTCTTCTTGGTGCACCACAGGTATTTGCGACAACCGTCGGCGGATTATGCCTTTACAGTAATTCATGATAGACGATAGCTCTCAGACAGCTTCGGACGATAGTTGAAGGTTGAAGTCATATTTGCGAAGCACTTACAAGGGAATGCTTATATATCCCACTAAAAGTAGAGGTTAAGGATCGGTCTACCATAACCCATTACGAAGTCCTTCCGAGCTGTCCTACGAAAGAATCTAGAAAGGGTGAAGAGTCGATCAAAACTTTTTACTCAACCTAATATTTACAGTCCACTCACAGCGTATACTCAGGTGAGAGAGACGCCTCCTTAATGTTCAACGATACTGGTGCAAATGTTCTGTGGACACCGTTATGATCGTGATTTGAGGTTTCATGTTCACCCCATGACGTTTCTTGAGTGTACTGATTTCTACTTTCCGGGAATCGCTACAGCGCACTGTATTCTGTGCAATTCTCTGCGCCCCCCTGAAATATTTTACCACATTGGTCAACCGGCGAGTTTTATTTGCCGTAACTTTTTCTATGCGATCCAATTGAAATGGAACAACATCAACAGGCAGTACTGCTCTCGGAAATCCAACTAAGCGCGAAATGTTTTAAAATTTATTGTTTTTGTGATCGCAAGAAACAAAGATTGGGTCTTCAAGCACCCAAAGTGTTACCTGTGAATATATCAGCATCGTAAATGCCCCTTTCTGATAGTAACTTTCGCTCTCAATGTTCAAAAAGTATGTACGACACGATATTTGGGGAAAACGTGGAATCGTGGTTATTTCGATGCCCTCAAGGACAAAATTTGAACAATTTCATCCGGAGGCAGTGCTTCAGATATCCGATTTTTCCGGAATTTTGCCTTTCCTACCCGGTCGCATAGTTTGTATGGGAAATCAGTGGGTAGCCGTGCTCACTGAGAATTCAAATACGTAATAAATTTTTGATTTTTTTCCTGATGTCTCAGCATCATTTTCACGGAAATCAGAAATGTTTGCAGCATGGCGCACACAAATAACCTTCCACTTCGATTGGAAACATCGTTCTCATTGATTGTAAGGACAGTTGTCACTATAATGGGGTCAGGAAGCGCGATCAGTTTGATACACTCCTTGACGAAGTTTCAATGATTTCATTCGAAAATAGTGATTTAAGTTTCCAACTTTTCCAAAATTCGCTAGTTCTTTCGTGCGACGCATTTCATGAATACTGGGCATTTTTGCAGTAATTCAGAGGGCCAGATCATGTGAAAGAAAAACCACGTCGTGGGTGAGAACAGTTTTTTTTTTAAAATTTACCATCAAGATTCTATTGGTGAATATTCGTCGATTCTTGCAGTGTGTTCATCAGCTAATGTACTGATGACTGATGTGACTCAAAAAGGGTCGCGGTTGAAAACTCTTGTTAATACGTTGTAGTGTTGTTACTATTATAACTTCGATGATAGCGCGGAGATGGTGTAGTGACAAGGGACGTGCCACCACACCACAAGGTCCAGGGTCCAAACCCCGGTTTGATACTCACCTAAGCCATCAAAGCCTTCCATCCCATGGGAGTTGGCCATTTGGTACCTGATCCGTCTGTGAGGGTAGCAGCACTAAAATTTGTAGCGCTGTTTTCAGTTTTATTTCCTTCATTGAGGTTATCGCGATAACCATGGTTTCATGGTTCCCTAGAAAAACGAAGAGTAGAACGCAAATACCTTTTGAAGACTGAGAACGAGGTTTGAAGTGAAAGGTTCACGTTGCTATTACATCCGCATGTAACACCGAGGTGCTTGAGGGATCAGTCCACATTTTTTGGTGAAATGAAGATGACAAAAATTTAGTACTTATCTGGACTCCACATGAGTAGTGCTTCCCGCTTATCTTATCTCCAACTAATTGGAGTGCTTCTATAAAGTTATTTAATAGCAAAGCGACAGACTATTCGTCGGAAATCGCCGGTTGGCCACGAACACGGCAAAAATGCAACTTTTCGGTCCAACATGCATGGCGTACTCATAATGGTGCCTTTACAGTTCTTCTCAGCAGTTGCATTCGTGTCATGTCAACTTTCCTCGTGAGACCTTCGAAACCTACCAGGAACGCCTCTCAATGTTTAGGATGCACCTTATGCATGTAATCCATCAAATTATTCTAAGACGGATGCCTGCTTCCTCTACACTATGTATAAAGTGATTTCTCGGGTGGACGATTGACTTTGCTAGTGTGGAAAATTTCAGATACAGACCACCATTCAGTAAAACAGAAGGCGAAAGTCGTGACAACTCACTTTGAGAGCTTTCCCTAATGTTAGTAGGCAATATCGCTGCCGCTTTGTTCGCTAAGAAAGAACAATTAAGAATCTCGGGATATCCTTCTTATATGAAAACAGGTCGAGCGGTGGTGAGCGATTCATTTTCACTAAAGGAGGGCTTTCACTTTATCCATATCTATATTTTGTCTCCTTTGACAAAATTTGAACTGCGGCGAGAGTAAAAATTTGACGGTACGGTAGTTTCATTCAACAAGCGATTCTTAGAAGAAAAGCGGTATCAAAAAAGTCGCCGAAAGAGAGAAGTATCAGGAAAAAGTAAGTAAGTAAGAAGGAAAAAGATCCGTTTTGGGGGAACGAGAACCACAAATAATAAATAGACGAAATTGCCGAAAAATAGGGTATTTCAGTGCCATAGAAAACCACAACCTACATTTTCACAATACTTGAGAACTATATGGTGGTTCGATAGATGAAACCTTACTTGTCACTTGATGCTGTGTATGAACCTTCTTTTTTCACGACGTATCTGTTAAAAGGCAAATTCGGCTGCCCTGCGCTGGAGCGTGATACGTGGGCGCTGTGATCCAGTGGCTGAATGACCGTAGCTGCTAACTGTAGGGCACCGCCTGTGAGCGTTGTGAGGTGATCGTTCCTGAAATGCCACCCTGAGCTCCAAATTCAAAGAAACCTGTCATGCTCAGACTGTTGAGTCATTCATATACGTCATTAAGGTTGAGGCTTCGAGGAGGCTAGCAAACCCCAAGTTTGAACCAATTAATTTTTTTTTGCATTTTTTTTGCACGATGTCAAGCAAAAGACCATAGAGACCTTGCTGATCGTGATCAGTTGGCGACAGTAGATGTTCGCTATGTCACGGTGTCACGCAAGCGACCTAGATTGGGGCGGTGAAGAATGCAACTGTTCGTTCTAGGACCCACACACAATCAGCTGATCGCTGAGTGATGAGGCGACGTTTTTCTCCCATTCTTTTTCCTCTGTTGTTTTCTTTGCTGCCGCGATCCCTTATTTATTCTTATAGAGGCTGAAGAAGGTGAGCTACTTTTGCTGTTACTGGAGTTTTTTTGTTCGCTTATGCTTATAAGTGAATGAATTTCTGCTTACCGTAGTCTGTTATCGGCACTAGGGCCCACACGTACGCAGTGAGACACAATGTAGAGCTCGTTCAGACGCCCCACTCTTCTTCATTCTTCTGGTCTCATTCTCGTCCAGCCCCCTTTTTAGCGGTTTTTTGAAGCCTTTCTTCACTTCAGAAACACCGATTCACGCATTTTCCTCACCTTCATCGCACTATTTCCGATCTTGACTTCCATTTTTCATCATAATCTGGATTACCCAAAATTATCGTAAACTGTGCCTTTAACGCTCCTCGTCAATGTAAGCGATGACGGCACCGTGAAAAATGAAGGATCAGAACGCTTCCATCTATAGTTTCTCGTTTTCTTCACCATTTTTCTTTCTTGTTATACTGTCTGCATTAAGACCTTCTCCCTGTGATCAAATAAAATTCTTACAATTAGAGCCGTCGACCTTTTAGACCTTTTGGGTAAAACTGCGACTCTAGACTGAACAAGAGCTCTGAACTCTTACCAACAATCGCCTCTAGCCAAGACTGGACCAATGACAAGATGATTGAACACTGACTGTGACATTGGCACAGATACAGGTCTTTCAGGCAACGATTTAATTCCGTCCATTCGTGCCTTCGAACTATGCAAATAAGCATCTGAAACGAATTTTTCACTGCTGTAAAACCGGGCTTGCTTTCTCAGAACAAACTATTTATGATCACCGCAGCCTGCTTTTGCCTCTGCTTGGCCAGCCGGAACTGCTTTTCGAGAAAGCGAAGGTTGTTCCAGTTGTCTATTTTACGGCGGATGTTGCCTGAAAATTAGCTGAAACTTGTTTTCAAACACACGTGCAATATGTGAATACGCAGAGACGTTAGTAGTCACAATTGGAATCGTGCATCGAATCTTGCTCAGAACAGCTGCAACTTTTATCTTTCCAAAGTCGATTGTGTTATGGCAACTTCGTTTATCAGGATAAATACAGTCTATGAACACTAGCAGGCCCATGTAGGCGAGAATCATGTTAATGTTAGATAATTATGTACTCATTGCCTACCACAACTGCCAAAAGCTGGCAACTGAAGTTCCACGCAGAGCGCTGCTTGGCGCTTCATCACTAATATTAGTATGGATCGTTGCGTCTCCTTGAAATTAATCGAAATTTCGATTCATATTGTAACTCTTCATCATAATTCCCACGCACGACAAACATATTCCGATTGCCCCGTGAAGGCGCGCCCTTAGTGAAACGCAAGTGCAGCAGAAAATGAAGTAACGTTTCCATTTCATCGTGAGCAGCGTATAAAGACCGCTTTTGCGAGAGAAATGTGCGGGGCGGAGATAAATTCAGAACATTGCTCACTCATTCTTCGTAAGTTACCTTGAAATGTTGACTCTTCTGATGCGATGAGTTCCTCATATTCTTTGGTGTTGAACGTTGAGATGAACGCTTTCTCAATAATTACGCAATAGGCGTCTTACTGAACATACAAGTCTTGGTTCGCCAATTTCAAGAAAGAAGACCTTTCTCTCGAAGATTTTCCGAGGTCGTGCCAGTTGTTGGAGTTGGATTTGGAAGTACTACGTTCCACCGTTTAGGAGGACCCGTACCTAGCCATCAGGAAAATGGCGACCATGCCCGGCTACAATCAGTTGACGATTGTACGTGGAATGGAACACTGGTCAAGGTAGCAAAGCTTGGTCGATGAATCCTGCATGAGCTGTCCGCTTATGACCTCTCGAGGGAGGGGGCTACCTGCACTTCTCTCATCCCTTTCGAAGAAGGCTCCACTTTCTCAACTCATCGGCATTTTGGAGCATCAGTTGAGAAAGTAATCTCCACTGATCATCGAGTGGAGGACACCCTTCTCATCTCCAGTTATCATCGAGTAGAGGACCCTCTTCTCATCTCCAGTGATCGATGATCAGTGGAGATGAGAAAAGGGTCCTGTTCTATAACCTCGAGAGGAAGTGGCAGTGGGTCGAAAAAGAAGAACAGCCAGAAACCATCCCAAAGGCCGACCTTCAACCCAAGAGGGTTCTCCTCCCCTGTTGTTGGTCCAAAAGAGTCACGGAGCACTGGGAGCTAATGAGGAAGGGACGGACGATTGACGCTTCCGCATATGTTACCCAGCTGCGGATATTGAAAGATTATGTTGAGCCTACTCAAGGATCGAATGCCGAAATTTACTTCCACCATGACAACGCGCTCACACCGCAAAAGCGACTGAGGCCAAGCTGGAGAAGGACGGATGGCTGGTTCGTCGTCTAGCCTCCCTACAGCCCTGATCTCGCTCCTTCCGACTACTGGCTGTTCAGTTACCTCCAGCGCTTTCTGAACGGAAAAATGTTTGAAGCTGAAGATGATGTCAGAAAGGCGCTCGGCGACTTCACAAGTCCCAGCCCCTGTCCTTTTGAAAGCAAAGAATGGACAAGCTGCCTGAGCGTTGGCGTCGAGTATTGGATGGTGACGGTGCACACCTCCAATCTTCAGGTTGTTTCACTGTTGAGATATTTATAAAAAAGTTGGGGAAAAAAACTTGTGCATCAACCTAATAATTGTTTCGTTCCGGCAGTTATCAGATGGTTGCTAAACAGGTAAACCTCATACCAAACAAGCGTATCTGAAAAGAGATAAAACTCATTACCCTGGATCCTATGCAGGATTTGAGAAACTTTGGAACTTTTGAAAATGTTTCATATCTCACCAGTAAAAGTTAAGTGAAGTTGGTCGCTTGAAATTAGACTTGTAGCGCTGGACGTGTTTACAGCTGATCTCGGGATTGCCTTTCGAAAAACTTTCTCAGAGTGAAGTTGAGGTGGTTTTGTAAATACATGCCACAATCGTTTTGGGTATCAACACACTCCACCTACACATATAGTAGGCTAACTTTCACCACCTCATGTGTATATGTTATACAGTGGCGAAAATTTCCGAAACAAGGCTTTTTTTGCAATGAGAGGAACGAGTAGAGGATTTTTTCACATCCTGTTGTTTTACAATTACTTGTTGAGCCACGGAAAGCGGAATTATGTAAATTGCTCATAATCACCCGGATGAGCTCTCAATTATCAGGTTGTCCGGAGAGTTTTGAGGAATTCAGTCGGATTTTTTGACACAAAATAATTACCGCAAACTTAAACTTAGAGCAACGATTGAGATAGTAGCCCTCCCTAGCTACAATGTTTCTCCATCAACGGGGAAGGAAACTGATGCCTATCCTTCAAAAGGGAAGACGCGACGCAATCGCTTAAGGTTTTTGAATTTCTCCCCTCTAGAGCAGGCCTGTGGATCTGAAAGTATGGCAGTCATATGGGTTGAGGTCAGATGAATATGAGGGAGCGGAGTAGTCAGGTTACACCTAGACTTCCTAGCTCATTCATCGATGTCTCTGCGCGGGAGGCTGAGGGATCGAGTACTATACATAGCGATGAGAAATTTCCCTGTTATCGTATGAAATGGGGGCTCGAAACACCATTCCTTCCATTCGGTAACAGAACACTCTTGCGTTTGCCATTGCACACCCTGGTACGATCTCTTACTGTTAAAGAAACACACGGTTCAGCAGAGGAAGAATGAGCTCATGTTTTTGGTGGCGTGATCGCCTCGCTTTACAGCGGGCTGTGGCCCTACGTCCGCTGGTAGGCATTGCGATTTCCGTGTGTATGACAGCTGGTTTTTATCCTGAGCAGTGAAGAATTCGGTTGATGTCGTCGTTCGATTACTGTCGAGGAGCCTCTGACAAACACTGACTCGCCGTCGACGCTCTTGCTCAGTCAAGTGTGGACGATATTTGCAAAGACTCCTGCTTTTAAAGCGACTTCTGCGCAAAACGCCGTGGATGATGGGTTGCGGAGCAGAGATCATTTTTCACTTCCTAGGACTTTGATGAGGATTGCTCCCACGGCAGGCCAGAACAGTGTAGGTATTTGAGGACAGTGGGCATTCGCTTCGACGAACTTTCACAGATTTAGAAGCAAATCACTTTTCAAAAGCAGCGACGATGCCATTTGTGGTAGTGACAAGAGGGGGTCATTGCTGCCAATCAGTCACCATGTATCATTCGATGCCTGGGTGTCGAAACGATCAGTTTCGTAATGATGAAGCAGGAAACTCCCTTAATCTTATCGATGACACATCGTTTGGTCTGCAAATTACATACTCCGAACGACCATGTCAAATACCGATCAGCCATAGTATTGATCTATCACAATATTCCTTTCCCTTTTCTAGAGTCCGTCTTCAGCGCATTCACGAGCAACAGGCTCTCAAAGTTGAGAGGAAGAATTCTCTCAAAATTTCCGGACATACTAACTGAGGGTGGGATGTCATATACAAGGAGGAAGTTCACTGAAAACTGATTCTAGAAGTGAAAGCAGGTAATTCGAAAATTTATCCTAGGGCTGCGATAAATCTGTGGCTTGCTCGTATAAAATATATTGCGCTGTCAGGCTGGGAAACGTCATAGGTAAGCCTCTAATTTCACGACTTCTGAGGAACATTATTTTCGCAAAATCGGCGAGTTTTCTCGCTCCCTTCGCCATCGATGCACTACTCCCAAACAGTTTTCCGCTTTTTGACCCAAACGGGTTACTTCAAAATCATCGTGAACTCTGTCATCAGGGAAACATGAAATCGAAACAAGCTATGCCACGTATAGCTTTCAGCTCAACGGTTAAAGGCCATATTGGCTGGCCGGCTCAACACGTTGTACCTGCAAATGCTATAATAATAAGCTATGACATAAAAGCCATAAGGAAGGGGAGGGCAAGTGGAGTCTTGTAGTGTGAAGGATAGGAGCACGGTGCCTGGATTTCACAAGTAGGGGTACGAGTTCTGACCAACGCAAAGTTTTGTCCATGACTCGCCAACATTGTGAATCTTTCCACTATCTCTAAGTTCCTCGAGGCTCAAAACCGCAGAGATTAAGAGGGGTGATGGACAAACAAAGGGATTGTAGAAATCTTGTATGGTATGAGAGAGAAGGAGACCACCTCATGCATCGAAAGCCTCGAAGAATGCAATGAAATCAACATTTAAGGAAATGCTTGGCCTCAAGTGAGAATCTTAAGAATTCAAAATTTCGCACTTTCCATAATGTCACGCTAATTAGCTCTCCTTCGCGGTATATCCATGCTTTTTGTTTCTTTGTGTTATGTCCTAACCGAATAGAAAACATTTGAAAGTACTCCTAGCATATAAGTCTCGCCTTCCTTAAATGAGTAGCGCATGTCAGGCCATGTTCCGCTACACTTATTGGAAATATTTGAAAGTGCAAAGGGGGAACATATTGAAATCGCGCTGATCCCAATTTGCAAGCGTCGTGAAGCAAATGTAACGCAAACGTGTAGTACTCAATTGCCAAACTAGCCATCCGGATAATTTATATAAGATTGTGGTAAGAAAATAAGCAGTAAAATTCAAAGAATAGGAAGACCTACAGTGGTCTGGTTGCCACAAACATGGAGAGCAGCTCGATTCATCAGTTTGACCAACATGTAGAATGTCGTCGGCGCTTCTTCGACCAGATTTAAATGAATTACTAAGAGGCTGGATGTTCCATCTGTGCTTTTCTCGGAGCTCCGCCAAGCCTGGATAAGGGAACTCCGCCATTGTGTAAATCACCTCAAAAATTCTAAGAATATCGTAACTGATTAAAAATTCAACTTATGTGAATACAGTTGTGGATTGACCAAGTCTATGTATTAGGGTTAGATAACTCAGTTTACATTGATGAATGGCAAAAAATTAGACCATTCCAATTGCTCAGGCAGTATCCAATAGGGTAAGGTATTGTGTATGCTTGGGTACTCATAAGTGTCGCTGGTCCAGAGCCCGTCTTCACTTCACAGCTTGATCGATGCCATTCCCTCTTTCACGGTCCTTAGTGGTAAGCATCACATGCATCTGCACACTGAGCTAATTTTTAGATGTTTCTGTCGTATCCTGACCTGCTTCTCATTTTTCATGGGGGATACAATGGTGTAGGATCAAACTCACGAATATGATCTGAATAAAGACTTCGAGAATTTTTCCGTGGCTGAGAGCGGACGAATGTTTTCGTCTACAGTAAGCTGTCAAAGAAACTGTTTTGTACTTGAATAGCTGTACGAACCCTGATAGCTTACAGTTCCATGACCGTGTCATTAATGTTGCACATCTATAGTAAATGGTTCCTCTCGAGCTTCTCGATTGACATGGCACAATCCAACATCTTTTTTACATTCTCTTCTTGAACATCATTTCATGAGATGAACCCAGCTCATATAGCGCTCAAGAGAATTTGACGAAATACTTTCAATCTCCACCCTTTCCAGCCCAGTCACAAACTTTACCGTGCAGTTCGTTCTTGAGTATTTTTTGGAAGAGTATGTACTACTATTCTGCTTTCATTCTGCTTTGGTGCCAAATTTTCATTGCAACGGCAGCTTTCGCATGCCGCGGTAGAATTTTTCTGAATTTCTCGGATGCTTTATGTGTTCTTTCCCCTATATTTTGATCTATGATACTTTGTCGTTGTGGTTGAGACGCATGGCAGAAGTTACTTGAAGCGATCGTGGAATGAGTGGGCATGAAAGCATCGTGATGAAGGTCATAGCCATAGCGAGAGTTTCTAAGTTTGTTATGGAGGAACCGCTGTTTCTCGAACGCTCTCAGGTCTGGTCATCCGTTCCAAATGAACCGAGAAGGGAGGCCTCGACGTGTTAGTGTTATACAAGATAGATGAATGATGCGCCGTTCTATATCTGGTCGCTGAGGTCGACATTCCACAGAACCATATGAAAGCCATGACACCTGCCTCAGTAGTCGAACTGTATGCTGGGAGATCAGTAAATTCGGCCAAAATGAGCTTGAGACATTCAACCAGAGAACCCAACGTCACAGCAAAGTCTTTGGGTTAGTGATAATTCAGCACAAGCATCTTACGCGGCGCAGTTTAGGGAAGCACTTCCTTGCGAATGGAAGCAGTATTGTTTGGTAATTGTTAGATCCCTCACTTTGACCCTGCCTTGATCTCGGATCAAGCGCCCTGTGGGTGATATTAAGAGCCTTATATTAGAGTATGACCACTTATCGTACTACCCCCTTTAGACCGTATAAGGCCGTGTTTGAACTAGTATTTATTCTACAGTTCGCTCCAATAGGCCGTCTTCTGACCGATGTTCGACGACACAACAGTAATGATGATATCGAGTATGAAAAATGGCGTCCCCTTCGGGGCATAAATTCGAAGTCCATCAACTTCTAATCCGGGCATGGTGAAGTGTCTATAACGTCTGTGCTGTTTTCCCACAGAATGGATTACTTTGTATTCTGAGAGTTGACAAATCCATGGCAGGCAGTTCTTACATGGAAATGATTCTGAATGACGTTCTGCAGTCTGTACGACAGAACATGTATGATGGATTGGTTTTGCAGATAATTGTGATCCAAGCCCACTCATGGTTGTGAAGAGAGCTCTCGAGAAGTGGAAAGTCAGTTTCTCGATTGGTCGGGCCAGATCTGAGTCCAACAGATTAAAGAAGCAGACTAAGAGCAACGACAAGGAACTCTGGTTCTTCCTTGATTACGACAAGCCAGAAACATAATAGGGACACTAACCGTCATGATATGGTCCTGTTCTTCCTGATTCATTTCTGCCAACTCTTTGCAAAGTTTACCCATGAGTGTGTAAAATTCATCAGCACTGGATGTGCGCAGGATTCTCCTGCAAAGTGTTCTCAACGAGTGATAAAAGATTAAAGAAAAGGTCGCCTTCTGATTATTGTACAAAAGAATCGCTTTTAATCAGACGAAAAACCTTACTCTTCTCTTTATAGTGAATATTGCTAACCTGCTCATTCTCGACCATAACGCGATAGCGGTGCGGAGTAGAATTTCTGATCCTTGCAACATCAAGGCATCCCATACTCGAAGTACACAATCTCTCGGCAAGCATGTGGAGAATAGCGTCAGAAACCAGTGCATAGAAAAAATATTTGGGAGCGGAGGTTCGTATTCGTTTTCTGGAACAGTGAGCATCAATTGTACCCGTTCGCCCTCTTCTATAATAATTATTTCATACATTCAAAAGTGAGCATATGTTAAGCGGCAGCATTACGCATCACAGAAACTCGTTTTGAGAAGATGAAGAGGGTTTAACAAGCTCAATGAACAGCGTGCGATCATGCGAGCGATGCGACGATTTGGACCCGCCTTCCCTTTCCTTCAGACGTTCGAGAAAATTTAGTTTTCAGCCTCTCCAGCAATTGCCGTTCATTTGAAACCAACAGTGCTTGCCGATTAGCAAATTTTTCCAGGCTTATATTGGGTTGGTGCATAATTATTGCGGATTTTTTCAAAAAATTTATTCCCGTACTTATAAAAAATTCAATTTCAAAATCAAAAAAATTCAAAAAAAAATTAATCCCATGGTGGTCACTGGCTCGAGGATTGCGATGACAATCTTACCGCCACAGAGCACGACTGATTTCAAAAACTCACTAAAGCGGTAACACGAAAATCCACAAACGATTAAATTCCGGCGACGTGCTCGAGCCGTGATGGCCACGCGAGCTGCTGCTGGTAGCTGCTGCTCAACCGTTATATTATGTTATGTTTATTACGCTGCTAAGGCAAACGCAGTAAAAGACACCCTTCTAAAATCAACATAACAGACCATGCAAAACAGAAGATAAAAACAGTAGACAAAGCAAACCAAAACGAAAACCATATAACACATAATTTAACATCACCAGATATGAATTTAAGACACAAATATGGAATCGATTGATCAGTCTCAGAAAACTAGGAAAGCTCATGCTTGGTTAGATCCGCTGTCATAATACGCTTGAACCTATTCAAAGCTCAAAGGTTACTTTTATGTACAGACTACCAGCTCTGAAGTTGAAGCTCCTGACTCTAGTCTGCCCACCTCCCGTTCGAGAATGCGTTTTATTATAAACATCAAAGGAGCCAAAATCATTACACTGGTACAGAAGTTTGTGAACCATACACACAGCAAACACCTTGCGCCGTTATTCCAATGGTAAGAGTTCAAGATATCTGTTAATTGGAGGGTTTAGGAATACCAGAATAGAAAAAGCATCTACATCGGAAAAGAATTTCACGCGTAAAGTTACTTTGCACTTTTTAAGAGCAATGGCTCCTTCCTCCCGCTGGGATGGAACACTGTGGCTCCACTCTCAACCAGAAGGCGAACATATGCCTTATAAGCTTTGAGAAGGATGGACTTGTTCGTGGTAGACAGCCCCTTGAAAATGTGCGACCTGCGCAGTAATGCTAGCTTACACCGATAGCGAATGTGCATGGGAAAGTCGAGAGCGCTGGTGTAGAGAAAGCCTAGATCACTTACACAGTTTACGCAGAGAATGGTAACTGTATACATGGTATAAAGGCAGGATGGAAGAGGGACAGACTTGCTGCCAATCGTCATATACATCGTTTTATGCGGGGCCAGGGGGAGCTCAGCCCAATCACTCAAAAAGTTAATGGCCTGCTGTACACCTCCCGGTCTTTGAACTCGGTAACGACTTTATAAAACTTAACATCATCAGCATACATTTTCGTTACAACGTGTAACCCATCGAATAAACTAGGTATCTAAGGAGTGTACAAACTAAACAGCACCGGAGAAAGAACCCTTCCTTGCGGCACTCCACCCAACACTCTCATGCTACTCCGGTATGCCTGCCCCACTCGGATGTGAAAGGTTCTTTCATGTAGATAATTAAAAATCCATTTTACAAGAATAAGATAAAAATCTCAGACACCTAGCTTGCGAACAAGTTTACTATGAGACACCCTATCAAAGGCTTTTGCAAAGCCAGAGTATAAGACATCACAGCAACAATTGTTGTCGAATGAAGTGGTCCAGTCATCCAAACTTTCAATCATATTTGTCTCAACCGACCTCTCAGGGATAAAACCATGTTGGGCTCGTGATATGACTCCGTGAGCGGCAACATACAGAAGAATATGCTCTTTGATAGTTCTCTCAAAGAATCTGCAAAACAAAGATGTGATGCTGACAGGTCTATAGTTTGCCGGGTCCTGTGAAGGATCCTTCTTAAGAACAGGGGTGATGAAAGAGTGCTTCCAGCGTTGCGGTACTCCTTCACTCATAAGTGACTGATTGAAAATGTATGCCAACGCCTCAGAGATAATATCAGCTATATTTTGGATGAAAACCAGCGGTATGAAGTCAGGTGTCACAGACGTAGACTTAGGCCAACGCATGATCCGTTCACACAGCTGATTCCCATGGAAATGGCTGCTCCTTCATGGTAGAGATACCAGGCGAGGAAAATTCGGGAACTCTTACATCATCACTCGTGAACGACTTAGAAAACTGGTCAGCAAACATGTTGGCCTTGCCGCTGGACTACACGCTATGAGATCACCGCTCTTTAGAAACCCAATGCACCTTCTATCCCGTATTTTACTATTCAAATACATGTAAAAACTTCCCTCACGCTGAGCTTCCACAATTTTCTTTTCTATATTGCTGAAGTACTTTGTGAGACGGGAAAGAAAACGTTTTGTGAATTCATTATACTTTGACCAAATCCCAGTACTTCTTGCTTCATAGAAAAGACAGTCCCTATGCTCACTCATGTTTCTCAAACTCCGCGGTAAAAGGATGGACATAAACGTGGTCGTCCGCTCTCAAGGGACATAGCAGTCGGTGGCGATGTGCAGCACCTTCAATAACAACTCGTATTTTGCATTGACACTATCACAGCTTTCGAGCAGGTTAACCCAACGTATGCAGGAAAGATCACAACGTAAAGCTGCAAAGTTGCATGCTGAGTAAACTTTGCGAAAAGTATTAACAGCCATGCTGTCATACCCACTGATGTCAAAAACAATGCTGCAGTGATCACTACGTCCAACAGGAGGACGAACTTTCAGTTTGCCAAGTAGGTCCGGCTTACTGCTTAGGACCAAGTCCAAGACCCTGCCCAGCCTTGTCGGTTCCTTGACATGTTGGGTTAAGTTGTGAGTGTACACCAGCTCGTGAAATTCCGATATTATGGAGAAATCCCCATGAGCACTGGCATTATGAAAAATCACTGACAAGTTAAAATCTCTCACAACTACTATAACGAGCTCGCAAGCGATTATATCACTGAGATCTTCGAACATCTGCTTAGTTTCTGCTGCAACGTTTGATGGAGTTCTATATAACACTATGAGCCGTAGGCTTGAACTCTCATTCAGAATATCAACACAACGTACGTCGTATGCACCATCCACAGACTCCTTGAAAACGAGGGCCATTGAAAGCCTCGAGTGAACTAATATCATTACTCTTCCGCCAGATTTCTTAAGCCGATCACATCTCTGAACATCGTAGTCTGAACTTATGCCACCAAGAATTGGAGAAACCATATGATTGGGATTGAGCCACGTCTCACAAAAGGCATATGATAGATATCATACTTTTCCGACGACACTGATTCCACGTAAACCGGCGACCGTGAGATTGAACTTACATCAGAGTAAAATAAAGTGAGCCTCTTAAAACTACTCCGAGGAAGAGAACTCAGTTTTACTGAGCAAAAGAAGAGGAGCACGGGGTACCAGGAGCGGCCACGTTATCCTCCACTGAGTGAGAAACATCCCATGTAGGAGAACTGTGCTCTTTCATTATTACTTTGACGTAGCGCTCGGCTTCACTCACGCCCCTTTTTAGTAATGGACTCTTTTAAGAAGATCCCTCGCTGAGGAAAATAGCGAAGGCGAGACGCCTCCTTCAAAATCATTCGTTGATAGAAGAAGGAAGAATAACTTTCAACAAACTGCTCCTATCTTGTGATGGTTTCCCCATCCTATATACAGAGATAGGGTTACATTCCACTTCTAGGTAATCAAAAACACTACACACACGGCGAAAATCCATTGCCAACCTATCTCTCAAATTGGAGATTCCAGGCTCAAGAATCCCGCTGACTACAATACTACGTTGTCTCTCAATCTCATGAAATGGTAACACTGAATCATGGGTAGAGTTAGCTACAATAACACTTTGACGCGAAGACAAACTATCATGGGGACGAAGATCAACAGTGACCTCAGATCGAATAGCTCGTAATCCCTTAGAGGCACCACTCACAAAAAAGTTAGGGTACCCTTTTTGACTGGAAATCGATAGAACTACTCAAGAATAAAGCGATAACAACGAAAAAAGCGCAAAACACGATGAACAAAAAGAATTACAAAGGGCCAAAAAAAGAGCTGGAAAGGGGGTTGGACGAGTTTCAAATTGAAAGAACGTCGGTTAGAGAGTGTTCGGGCAAATTGGCAAGTTGCCAGAGACGGCA